CCAGCAGCATGAGCAGCGGCTACAGCAGCCTGGAGGAGGACGCGGAGGACTTCTTCTTCACCGCCAGGACCTCCTTCTTCAGGAGGGCGCCCCAGGGCAAGCCCCGCGCCGGCCAGCAAGTGAGTGGCGCTCGTCAAGTGACCCCGTGGCTCCCGGGGTCCCGCCGTCTCCACGTGGCTCCGCCGGGGCGAGCGGGGAGACACTCGCCGGCTAGGAGGAGGCCTCCCCAAGTAGCTTCTGCCCGCTGGGACGGGGACGCGTTTGTGCGCGTGCATTTGGGTGCTTGCCTGCGGCTCCCCGGGCCCGGGCCGGAGGAGAAAGCGTCAGATGGCCGCTGCGGCTCCGCCTCGGGGCTGCCGGTGGCCGCCGCCCTCCCGGCGGAGCCTGTGCGCCGGGCTGAGCGCGGGGAGCAGTTCCGAGAGGCAGTTTGCGACCCTGGGCCGCTCGCGCCGTTTGCCTTGCGCGCGGGGAACGCCCTTTGCGATCCCCCTGGGTGAAGTTGAACTCTAACTCCCCCCACCCCCCACCCCCACACACAGTTGATCTTATCAGTGGCAGTGACCCTCCATATGGCTGGGGCCCGGGGAAGGGGCCGACGGTGATAGCTGGGTGGCCGCAGTGACCTGGCCGCCCCCAGCTTCGTGGTCCTGCCCCTTGAGGGGCCCGACGCCGTGGGCGCTCTTATATTTCGTTTGCGGAGTCCGGGCTGCGGCGTGTTCTGTGGAGTCAGGTTTGTAGGTGTGCCTAGAATGGTTTGCAAACAAGTTCTGGTGCCAGGTAAATGGCAGGGCGCGCTCGCTAAGCTTTCCGCGGTTTCTTCCATTTTTGGAGGAAGCGTGTCTTGGGAAGCACGACTTGAGAAAAGATGGGAAGGGGCCGGTCTCGCTGACCGTGACCGTGTTTTTTCAGAGAGGCCTTCCCCAAACGGAGCACTTCGGCAGCACTCCCCAGCCAGTCTGGCGCTTGACCCCATCCGTGCCCTCCCGGCCCTGGGAGCCGCAGCAGGGAGCCCTGCCAGCCCAGCCTAGCTCACATCAGATTAGAGAAGGCTGGGATGGAACAAATTCGTTGCTTTTCAAAAATAGCAGGCGTGCACCAAACGTTTCTAACAGACTTAGTTCTGGAAGACGAGGAGAGAAATCGTGCAGGGGCCCGGATGATGGGTTTCCGCGGATGGGGAGGTAGTAATCTATGAGCGTTTCCTTGCCAGACCTTTTAAGTTTATTTAACTGCATTCTGAGCTCAGATTTCGCTTTAGGATTCGGAAGTTCTAGTTTTTTCAACCTCTTAAGTTCCAAACCAGAAGGATGGGGTGAAGGGCCAGAGTGAATTGTCAAGTGCGCTCACTCTTGTAACAGCAGCTAATCCAACATGACGTTCTGCTGTGGTCGTTTCTCTGCCTTTATTGTTACAGCCTCACTCTGTCACTTTGAGTGATGTCTTATTCTGATGGCATGAGGTGGCCTTGAAGTTTGGAAGTCAGAAACCACCACCACCCCGCTTCCCCACCTCAGACCCCAGTAGGCGGTAGAATTGGGTTGCCTGCTCACTGGTTCCTTCTACCCTTTTCCTGCTGTTTTCCTGCCCACATTAGGCTGCTGTTACCATATGTCAGAGAGGAATGGTAATAGCGTGAAGCTGATTTCTAGAAGTGCCTAGTGATTGCCAGAAGACGTGCAGCTTCCCAGGGCCAGTGGCCAGGTGTGAATCTTTGGAGTATTCTTCAGTGCTTTAAGATGCCCACAAGAGTGCCCTTAAGTTACCTGTGACATTCATGTAGCACATGTATTATGTGCATTCGCGCACTATTATTCATCTAGCATTTAGAACTCATCTACGTTAACAAGTATTTTCGAGCGTTCTGAAAATCAAATAGAAGTACATGTACCTCAAAGCTCTGTTGCCCTTTGCTTCCCCCTCTTTCGTTTTTATTTAAAGAAAAAAAACAAAACCTTTTGTTTTACTTCCCTTTTAAACTTACCACTTTCAAAGTGCATAGATGCCGGATTTGGCAGGTGAAACAGGGTTCTCGATTTTGCACCTTAACTGGGAATTTTGGTTTCTTAGAAGTGACTGAGTCTGTAAAATTCCTTATAAGATTTGTGAGTTCAAACATAAATACAAAACAAGTCACCTAAAAAAAATTTCTTCATTGCGATGCTGGTGAAAGTTTTTAGATCAAATCATGTTTCCATTCAACAATTCATACCCAGTTTGTTTCATGGCACGGAGTGAGTGTACTTGTCACAAGGTAACAGCACTCTTCCCACCTCCTCCCTGCCTTTCCTGGTTCCATTCCTGCAGCAGTGTTTCCCAAAGTGAGTGGTGCTGCTCTTGCTGGGGCCGCTGGGTCTGGGTGGGGGTGGTGGTGGCAGACTGCTTAAACAGATATTGTGGTAGTTGTATAGTCATTTTCCATTTGAGGATTCAGAGTGAAGGGGTAGAGGTTAGTCTGTCAATTGGATCACAGCCAATGAGGCCTCTATGTGGGTGTGGCTTTCTCCTGAGAATCCTGGGAACTTCTGTATTCCTTCTTGGAGAAGGAGACACTGTCTCTCTCAGCTCACTTTCTTGGGGACATTGCCGCTGGCAAGACACGAGGAAATGTGCTAGTGCCCTGAGCTTGGAGCAGCCACATAGACCTACCCTGAGGCAACCAGACCTCTGAAGCTGGAGAATCCATGGAGAGACCCCTGCCAGCACTGAGATGCTTACGACACCACTGGTTTCACAGACTTTCTACCCACTGCATTCGGCCTCATTGGTGTCATTGCATGTGTTTCTTGAGTCTGAAGAGGACTTTCTAGATTGGTATCAGACATAGGGGCTAATATCAGACTTATGGGCTTGGACTGGACTGGGTTGGGATACTTAATGTACAGTTGCTCTTGTATATAAGCCTTTTTCTTATACACATACTAGTCTCTCTGAATTTGTTTCTCTAGTCTACCTGGACTAACACAGATATCTATACTTTATCTTGGATTGTGGGCTATGATACAAGGTTTTTAATTGGCAAGAGGGCACCGAGTAATTTTTTTTTTCTGAAGAAGAGCAAATAGGTCAAATAAGTTTAGGAACCTGTGATGTAGAGCATTTATTTCTCCTAAGGTTAAGGTTAGGTAAGGTTAGGTAAAGGAAGCCATGATGGTATAGTGGTTATGCCTACGTTGGGCTGCTAACTGCAATATCAGCAGTTCAAAACCATTAGCTGCTTCTCCGAAGAAAGATGTGCTTCCTGCTTTTGCTACAGCCTCAGAAGCCCACAGGGGCAGTTCTACCTTGTCCTGTAAGGTCGCTATGAATCAGCATCAACTCTACGGCAGTGGGTGGTAGAAGGTTAGGTAAGTATTTTATTATGCTGTTGATGGTGAGAGAAAGATAAGCATGTGTGACTTACTATCTTTTCTCTAGTGAGATGGAGAGAATTGTCATAGGCGCTGCTATTGGTAATGTTAGGTGCTGTGCTCTGACTCATACCAACCTATGTACAGCAGAAGGAACACTGTCAAGTCCTGCACCATCTCTACAATGGTTAGGTTGGGGCCTGTTGCAGCCACTGTTGTCAGTTCATCTCTTTGAGGGCTGTCCACTTTTTTTGTTCCACTTTACCAAGCATATGCCCTTTTTCAGAGTCTAGTCTCTACCGATCAGAAGTCCAAAGTATATGAGACAAAGTCTCACCATCCTTGTTCTTCAGTGGTTTGTTTAGTGGTGGTGGTGGTAGGGGTGCGCTGTACCACCGGGGAGAAAAGCTATGAAAATGTGATATTTTTAGGGAATTCTTGAAACTCCAGAGAGGGCAAGCTGTTTGTGGTAAATGCAGGCTGGGGAGACAGGTTGAGGGCATGAGAAACTTCTCTCTTCTCTTGCCAGGCGAAGAAACGCATCACAACTTCTGTCTGTCTCCAACAACAACAATAATAAAATCATCCTTTAGATGGTACAGAAGTAAAGAAAATATCCTTTTCTTTCGTATTTTGGTCTTTTGAAAAATAAAAAAGAAAGAAAACAGTTAAAAGCCCTTCAAGGGCTATATCGTGAATGGATACATAGCCTTTGTTTAGCAGTTTGAATGCCACGTTTGTCAGCTGTATCCTGAGGGCCTGGGTCTGTAGCTAAAGCACTGGTGTTGCTCCTTGGAACTTAGTGAATGAATTCCTGCTTTCCTGGCTTGCTAATAATTGGCTCTTTATTGTTTTAAAAAAATCATAAGGTTCTTCCAATTATCCTTAGTAGCACTAACCTAATGAAAGGTGAGGTACTTACCTGCCAAAAAAGGCCCACACTTAAGGTGACGGTTAAAACTTCAGACTTCAGATTCAAACACTATCTTAAAAATGGTTTGAAAATAATTTAAGACATCCATTTTCTTTTTGAAACAATTACAGAAACGTCTGTAATTGCAGAGAATCACAGGTAAGAGTTCAGTACCTCATAATGACTTGCATATTATGATTCTTCTAGTAAAAGCAAACTACAGATAACTGAGGACATACATGGCAGCAGTCGAGAATTATTCATGTAATCTGCTGGAGCATGTCTGGTCCCACAGCTTTTCTTCCTGTGCCTCTGGTGGTTACTGAGAATAAAGACGTGAGACAACAATTTTGATATAAAGCACAATAGGTGAGAAGTTTGAAGTAATTGTGTGAATCATGCACTGGGTTTGTTTTATTTTATTTTATTGAGGAAATGTTTAGTAAGGCAAGCCTGTGAGAGTCCGTGTAATGGGCCTCCAGCTTTGTCCTTGGGGTTTTCTCTTTATCATAGATATTTTTTATGCCTATCTGGTTCTGTGTCTTACTGTTGGGATCAATAGCCGTGAGTTGTACTGTTTTACTCAGTATTTCCATTAGAAGCTTTGGGTGCTGGTCACTGGGGGCAAATATTCACGAAGGATTGACTTCTAATCCTTATGTTACTGGATTCAGTCTTCTGTTACTCATTTTAGGGTGATTTGGGTTGCTGGAGGGTCGCTCTGAGCAGAAGGGTTTGGTTATTACTCTTGTTTTTTAAAGATAATTTGCACATCTCTTCTTTTTGCACAGTACTGATTCTTTGGGACTTTGTGTGAGTACTGAGAACTCACAGAGTCGTATTCCATCAACTGAATTCC